ACATGTAAGGATGACTGGAATGAGATTTAACATTACAGGATGATGGTCTAAGCATGTTTCCAGATTATCATGAAGAAGTAGATGCTTCAATTCTGTAAGCATATGTCAAATTTCATATGGTCAAGATTGCTGCATCTTTCTGATAGTTCAAATTTTCAAGTTGATGGAAAATTATTAATGTGGACTTAGGGACAGGATGCACTGTTTCTTGGAAATCACACAATTGGGTTGAGTTTAGTTTCTAAATCTCCAGCAACGATGATTTGTCTTAACTTCTATTCTAGTTTTCTACCCCAAATTATCCACCTTGGGCTTCTTGCAACGTTCTGTGCTTTGATTTATGTTGTGACCAAGTCCTGCTTGATACAATGGAGGTTCATGTTTTCCCGTAACTCCCATATTTTCATATAATGTACCAAGCCAGTTGCTTTAGTTACGAGTGTTCTTCCATGTCATGAGGCTGCTCTCCCCTCACCCCCATCTGATGACTGAAAAACATCACCTTCTAACTGCCCTCCCAAAGCACATCTGATGTCTTCTTCACAAACACTGAACACAACTCCCATAGACATTGGTAGGACTCTTGCTTGGTGTATATGGAAATTGCATCCAAGAAACTGGAATCTGTGGCCATTTTGGGAAATACAAGCGCAGAGGGAAATACAGGCAAACCTTAACAGCTACCTACCTAGCCAAAATTTATCTTTTGCCCTAGGTTCCAAGCCCCCAGATAGTCAAGTCAATCTCTAGATAAGAAGCTTTGGGGAGTCACTCTTTCTAGATGCTCAAATACCTCCAGCTGTCAAAAACATTTTATTTCCTTCACATCAGCCAGAAAGTCTGTCCTTTAAGAAAAGAATCTGACGTTTGCTAGGTTTACAATGCAGAGCGCTCTAATCATGAAGAGCTCCAATAATTCCAAAAATCATCAATTTTCTTCCCATCCAACATCAGCCACTCTGATCACTACATGAAATCTTCCCTGATTCTTCACTGAGGTGGATGAGTATAAGCCATCCTTTCACCCACCCTACTCTGGACTCAGCAGCAGAAGGAATCATAGCTGTTACTCATTACCATTTTGAATAAATTAACCTACAAAGGACCACTTTGCTACCCAAAAATTCCCCAAATAATCTTGGGAGGCAGGACAAGTTTTGAGGCCGGACTGTCATTTGCACTCCACCTTTCACTGTCTGCTGCAACCCAGCATCTGGGGTATAGCCTGAGGTATTGAATTGCTGCCTGAATTCTCAGGTAGTTTTTTTTTATATCTGTCATCAGAAAGGTATGAAAAAAAAGCATGAAAGGAATGGAAACATGCATGAGGAGCTCACCTCTCTACCTGCAAGGTGCATTTCTTAGCAGTGGAACAAATTATCTGAAACTTCTACTTCTTGCTAAAGGGCGAGACCTCAAGAGGAACTGCAACAATATGACTCTGTGAATCCCAGAGTGGAGAAATGGGTGTTTTTCTGACTTTTGGTCTGAGCAGTAAAGTTCCCTTTTCACCAACACATACCTCACCACAAACCTCACCACCTTCGGAACAAAATGCAAGGCTGTATAGCAAAAACCACAACACTGAAAAGAGAACAAACTGAAAACTGTCTACGTGGACATGCAGATAAAGAATGGGCACCGCAAAGCTGAGGCTGGTGCCTGTCACGAACAGAACTGCCAGTGCCTCTTTGCAACCAGAGAATAAAGGCAGCTGATAAGAAACACCAACATCCCCCTGCACCCCGGGGCTCACCGCTCATGCTGACAGCTGCCCTCAGCCTCATAGCCAGCAAATCTAGATTTTGGAGAAATTCTGGGAAAGCACTTGAACAGTCTTTGTTTCAAATGCAGTTCAGTCTCCATCTATGCTGGGCAAATCAAGAGACTCAGCTAATGTGATCCACCTTTAAGGTGGGTTTAAATCTAGTCACTAAACATGGAATGCTGCTTAAAGGTATGTAATTCAAGCAGCATTCTTCAAGCAGCACTGGTGTTGCTCTGAAATTTTAGGAGAATATGTTTTTTTTCACCAATCTCGTAGCAATGCTCTGGCAAACCAGCCAGTTGTGAGGTGGGGAGTACAATGTTGATGCCTGCCACAAAGGCTCTGAACTTCAGTGACATTACACTTTTTCAGGGTCTAAATCAAAAGTCTAGATCGTGCCACCCTTACTCATGATGAGGATCACCTTATTCCTCCCAGGGTCTTACCAGAAGCAAAGAAGATGTTGGAAGGTAAAGGCCTGATACCATGACGGGTGAGGTAACAGCCCAGAGAGGGAAATTAAGTAATCTTCTACCACTAACCCTAACAGAAAAGCCCAGCTTCAAGAAGAAGAAAAGCAGAAAATATACTGCTCTCACAAACTGGACCACAGCTGATGAAGTGAGATGCTGTGAAGTGACACCAGGAAGTTGTTACGTTCAGCATATGATAACAGCAGAGGAAGGAGTGGGGGTAAGAAAGGACAGGCAGCATAAACATGGGGACCGCCCGACCAGCCTCACGGTACTATCGAGATACATACAGTACCGGTCTAGAATAACAAAGAGATGCATTCTATGAGCCACTGCCAAAGCCGCTTTTAGAAAGGCTATTACATTTCCCTTAGCTAGAAGGGTCTCTACAAAAATTGACTCTTAACAGAACCTGCACTGAGAGTGGTAGATCAGGTGATGGTAAAATAAATGACAGTGCCAACTATCTATAGGGGTACCAACCCATCACTGATGGAGTGCGAGGAGACAATATCGTCTCCTCAGCACAGCCAGCATCAGGATCTAGAAAATGAAGATTAATATGCAACAGAAACTGCAACTTATGACTTCAACAGTTGCAGGTGAATCACTCCAGGAACAGGCAGCAAGCAAACATTTTGCAGGTTATTTAAAACGCAAATTGTTCTTTTCTAAATGGAGCAGCTGGAACCCAGGTAACATCTGATGTAAATCAGTGACCTACTTTAAATTAATCAGATGGAACAGCTATAGAAAGAGGTAGAAGCAAAAATAATAATAAGGCTCATATTTTTTCTCTAAGTGCTTCACATTTCTGCCCCTGTTACGGTTGTTCTCCAGGTTAGTGGGGGAATGAAAAAGCAGGTTATTTTAATGGCATCTAAGTATAAAAACAATTCTCTAACCACCACATTAAAAATTAAACAGCTTTGCATCTTTAATGCATACTTTCCTTTTTAAAGAGGGAATCAACAGTTGTGTGGCAGCATGCAAGTATTTTTGTTGTGCCCAGTGAGCAGCTGGAAAAAAATACAGGAAGCAGCAATGGAGAAAATAGAGAATGAAAGAAAAGATGTCAAAAAAAAAACCAACACAGAGAAAGCAAATCTTGTCACTTGTTGGCAGGAAGCACATCCTCAAAATTAAAAGAAAAAAATCAAGTAGGGCAACAGGGAGGCCTAAATTTTGTGTGTAAGAAACGACAAATAACAACACATCTTTGAAAACACCATCATTTTTACCTCTACTGGATTTGCCAGTCTCTTCTAATGAACCCAGCTCATTGTTAGTAGTCTTTGTAGTTAAGCTAACAACCAACATAGTCTAACATTGACATAGTCTCAATCTTGTCAACCTCTGTGGTGATCCCTCTGCATCCAGGTTAAGGCATCTTGTGTACATATCAGGTTGTAGTGCGTTGTTCATGCAGCACTCCTCCAGACGGTGCTGAAATACACCTTCCACCTAAAAGCAGTCCTTTCTGAGTTGGACAAACCACTGAAACCCCCTCCCTCCTCCCTGTCCCAAATGTCCTTCAACGTAACTTTTCAGTAGACACAGAAAAAGGCAGAGCAGAGAATTATGCAGAAAATGGCACGTAGAGTTGTTTTTCCTTGCAGTCTCTGGCCCCACAAGTTGAATCTACTTGCTCCTATGTGACTAAGCAAGTTTTCATTCCCTCTCTCCTCATCAGGCAGGCATAGCCATATATTTGAGCTTCCCCAAGCAAATGGTCTGCTTCATCTTAACACTCTCTGATAAGCAAACATAAGAGGACGCAGTGGTCCATTGCAGACCTGACCATGCACCACGCTGTCCTACTTGTGCCGCAGCAGAGGAGGTCCCTCAGTACACTCTGGAGCTTCCCTGATGGCATTGCGGTTCATGGGTACCTCTGGGCAGTAGTGTACGAGTGCATCCAAAATACCAGGGACGTATGTGCCTACAGTCTTGTTTGAGTCAACAGAGCATGGCTGATTTGCAACTGGGCGAGCACACATTTTCAAAATGTGCTCAGCAGTATGGAGACCAGAATTTCATTTCCTTAATACCCAACCTCAGCAAACAGCCTGAGTAAAGAATAGCCCAACTGAGCATGTATTTATTTTACTTTGGCCACTTTCAAATATCTGCACTATAAACTAGGACCCTCACTTCGTCTCATTTTACACAGCAAAGCTACTCCAAATCCTGCAGGAAGCCTGCTCTGTCCCACAGGGCCAGCTTCCACCCCCAAATCATCCTGTGCGCACTTGCAGTGGTCACCTCCTGAAGGAGGACAGTGGGATACAGACTCACGCACTTTTTTTGCCTCACCTGTTAACGAAAAACCCAACGGAGATGTAAGCGCGTGAGGTAAAATTCTAACACGCAACTGAAGGGTAACGTGTGAGGCGGCAGGACGAGGAGTTTTGATGTCCCCACAATACGCCCTGAAGCCTTCCTGGGGCTTTCCTGCCCTTGCAGTCAGAGAAGCTTCGGCCAAAGGGCGAGAGTACCCATGACTTCACTGGGATTCATTTAAATCTGAGAACATGGGTATGAAAAGCCAGGAACTTGATAAACGTCATCTGGAGGGGTCGACCAAGCACCACGTAAAGCAGGGACCCACACCCTGGCCACCGAGAGAAGACAGTCCCAGGTCCGGGAGGGCAGGGCAGGGTGTGGAGGAGGATGTCTTTTCCCAAATTGCCCAGTTCAGCTCGGCTCGGGGGACTCGGGGGACTCGGACACAAGGACCCTCCCTCCCTCCCCCTTACCTGAGCCTCCCACGTTGGACCGGAGAAGGCAGGTTCTCCGGGAGGAGGAGAAGGAGGAGATGTCGCTTTGGGAGCGGCCGCGGGGACCGGGCAAGGACCAGGCGGGCTGCGTTAGTCCCCCGGTGCTCCCCGGCCTCTCAGCCATCGCCGTCGGGGAACCGAGAGGGGCAGGGAGGAGAGAAGAGGAGGGAAAGGAGCGGCGAGGGAGGGGAAAGGGAAAGTTTGCAGAGGAAGAGCCGCCCCTCGCCTCCGACCGCCCCGCCGGAGCGGGGCCGCCCCGCCGGAACGGCGACGGGGATTTTGGGTCTGCCGGAGGCTAAATTTTGTGTTTGCGCAGGGGCAAAGCAAGGGGGGTGCGTGTGTGTGAAGATGCACGGAGGGAGGGGACCCCCCCAGCGTCCCCTCCCTCCCTGCATCTTCACCCCCCCCCGCCCCCCCGGGTTGTCTTCATGCTCCCCGCTCCCATCATTTCCAACTCTCGGAAAAAAAAAAAAGAAAAAAAAAAAGACCAGCAGTTAAAAAAGAGCCGAGCAACCGACACCACCACTTCTGTTTTGTGTAACAGGGTGCCCTCCCTCCCTCTCTCCTCCCCCGGCCCGTCCCCCGCAAAACCGGGAGGTTGCACAAGGCATCGCACCCCTGAGCCGAGCAGGGAGGGCGATGAGTCAAATCTCCTGCGTGTCCCGTCCCCGTCCCCCCCCCCCCCCCCCCCGCCTTGTTGTAG